TGGGAGTTGTGGTTCGTTGTTAAACGGCGATGGGGGGGGGGTTGTGGACTCACCTCCTCGCGCCTCTGCCCTTCACGACGTCCTGCTCGCGCAGCTCTCTGGGGCTTGCTCCTCTTCACCCAGCCCCGCCCCCTTGCTCGGGGGGCGAGGGCTTGTCAGACGCTGGGGGGGGGGCGATGCTGGCTGGGTCGGAGCCGCCCGAGGGAGGGTGCATGGCCAGCCCGTGCCGCTAGCAGCGCTGTGTGGGACCCAGCAGCGCCCCAGGCAAGTGGGGCTGGTTGCCTGCGGCGGGCTGGGCGCTACACAGCGCTTGGTGCCTTGCTCAGGCTGCGGGAGGCCAGCGCCTGTGACCTGCTCGTGGCGCGCCGGCGGCGCCTGCAAAGCAACAGCTAGCGCCGGGCACACGCAGGGCGGGAGGACGCAGCCTCGGGGCTCACTGGTACCTGACACAGGGGCAAACCTCTCGCAGCCGGGTGATCACGGGTCGCTTGAGTGACGTGGCCATCCCAAAAGAACAGATAAAGCCAAAGCTGTTGACTAGTCTCCGCAGCTGACTCATGCAGTTATGCACCGCCCCCACTTTCTGCTCTAGGTAGCCTTTTAATCCTAGATGGGGCACTCTGTAATTGGTTCTCCTTCAGTGCCTTTGAATGAAGATTGTTCTTTTCATGTGACTGCCGCTGAGTTTAGGAGAAAAATGCATTTTCTCCATGTTGTCTGCCACAGACTAAGCAGAGACAAAACATTAATTGCAATACTAGTTCTCTGCCATAGCATTGTTCTTTGGTGGGTTGCTTAGTCACTAGTTCAAAAATTTGGTAATTGCAGCAGGTTATACTGTTCATTTTCTTTCTCCAGCATTGTCCAGCAAGTTGACAACATAATGCCTCGGCTCATGAAACTGAGGGAGGGCAGCTTTGACCTCTTCTTGGCCCACAAAGTAGTCTCCATTGCACAGTTACACTTCTTGACAACTTTGTTGCTTTCCTGCCACTCATGCTTGTGAGAAGCTACCTATGCACATGGGCATTATCCTTCAAATTCCTCCTTACAACTCCTCTGTGCCATGATGCCTAGGGGAAAAAAACAAAACATGACAACAGGTTGCTGGCATGTTCAAACCATGCCTTCTCATGATGTATTTGGGATGTTAAAACATGTTTATTTTTGTAAACATATAATGGCTGATATTTTCAGCAGTTACAAATCCATACTTGTCCCAGAGGAGGAGCTGGATCTACATGCAAAACTTGGAAAAGGAAAAAAAAAAGCCACCTCCTTTAAAACAGGGTTTAGAACAAGCTGCTTACTCGGGTTAATCTTTCAGCCATTAATTAAACAGTCTGTCTGAACTACACAATAATAGCAAATGGTTATGTATTTATTTCAACACATCAGCTAATATGGAATGAATCCTATTGTCCTGTAACAGATATGAAGAAGGTTCTCTTTCTAACCACTGTGCTTCGTGTTCTACATCTATATGCTGTACTTTGGTCAGGAGATTAACACATTTTATTCTTATCTTAGTCTTATTTGTATTGTCATAGCCTCTGGGAGCCCACAAAATGGCCAAGACTCCATTATACCCAGAACAAGAGACAATACCTGCCCTAAAGAGTGTGCACTCCAAAGGCTTGTCTCCTCTTCTGTGTGCATCAATGCTGTAGTGATTGATCCACCGGTGGTCCAGTTTAGCAAGTCTTTCCTATATTGAACACTGAATGTGCTCCCATTGACTCCAGTACTCTATTGGAATGAGAAGAGTTAGTTAAATCGGCAGGAGAGTTTCTCCTGTCAACGTAGCACAGTGTAGACACCACTGGTAGTAAACCTATGGTACATTGAATATTCACATAGATGGAGTCATGTAACATAGGTTGACATTAGTCCATACTGTAGACTTGTAACACGAGAGACAATAGATACAGACTAGGGAAGTTAACGTATACCCATGTTCATGGTTAACTGATAAGCCTGGATTCATCAGTTAACCCTCATGGTTACATCCCCACTCTTCCCTGCTGCCTCTGTAGATAGAGGGACAGCAGCACAAGCCAGGAGCCAGTACAAGCAGGAAGCTGGCTTAAAAGACAACTCTCTGTACTCACTGGCTCCTGCCTTCCTTTCACCCCCTCCCCTTGTAAACATGTAACTGCTGAAAATATCAGCCATTATATGTTTACAAAAATAAACATGTTTTAACATCCCAAATACATCATGAGAAGGCATGGTTTGAACATGCCAGCAACCTGTTGTCATGTTTTGTTTTTTTCCCCTAGGCATCATGGCACAGAGGAGTTGTAAGGAGGAATTTGAAGGATAATGCCCATGTGCATAGGTAGCTTCTCACAAGCATGAGTGGCAGGAAAGCAACAAAGTTGTCAAGAAGTGTAACTGTGCAATGGAGACTACTTTGTGGGCCAAGAAGAGGTCAAAGCTGCCCTCCCTCAGTTTCATGAGCCCTTCTGTTTTTTCTTGGTAATATTGTTATATCTATTTAAGTAAACTATTCAATGTTATTTTTAGGGCTAGCGTCTCCTAAGAAGCTAATGAATACTGTAATAATATTATTCATTCAGAAGGATGCCAAAGTGCTTACTCTGTAGATTGTTTCTATGGTTCATAAAATAAGTTGTACATATATTTAATAGCTATATGCATGTGTGTGTGTGTGTGTGTGTGTGTGTGTGTGTGTGTGTGAACCAGATATTTTTACACAGTTCATATTGCTCTTGCTCAACCTTTTCTGGTCAATCCAAGAGCTGTATTAATATATACCAGAGGAAACTTTAGCTAGAAGGATGGGTGGATCCAATATGGCATGTTTGGGAGAGTAAAGAAAGGAAAATAGGGAGGGCTTCTTGGAGGAAGGGATGAGGATGAGACTTAGGGTTTCTCCAAGCCCTAGAACTCCCCTGTGTGAGTGAAGTGTTAGCACCGGCTTCCCACAGTGGGGGGAAGAAATAGGAAGCTAGCTTAAAGACCCTGGGTGGCTGGCTTTTTCTGGCGGGGGGAGGAGGGGGGAATGGCTCTGCACAGTGCTGTTCTCCCTCCTTCCGGATGAGGGAATGGCAGTGGAGGGAAGCTAGTGCAGAGAAGCTCTGTCCCTGTGCTCACCTGCAGTCTCCACCCCTGTTGCTCCCATTGTCTGGCCAATGGGAGCAGCAGGGGACAGTGCCTGCAAGAACAGGGGGCACACCTGTCCCCCTAGCTTGCCAAATAGGAGTTGTGCCAGGTAAGCACCCCAATCACCAGCCCACTCCTGCATTCTCTCTCCCTCCCAGACCCTGCATGCCTGCTCCTGCACCCGAGTTTCTGCACAGAACCCGCACCCCCACACCCAGCCTGCTCCCTGGTAGACTCCTTCTGCACACTGAACCCCTCACTTTTGTCCCCAGCCTGGGGGCAACCCACACAATTTGCTAGCCCCAGTCCCCTAGAAGAGTTAATCCTGTTTGGGGGGGAGCCTCGGTGCCCCTGCAGCACGAGGGGAACCCTAGCATCCTGAGTTATGTGTCTGTCTTTTTTTCTCTCTTTTTTTCTCTGTTTCTCAGTTGGTGACCACATCATTAAAGAATGTTTTTTTAAATACTTTTTCTTCCTTACTTGTCTGTTCCCCCCTCCCGTGCAACAGATTTTTCTGTGGGTCCCCATCCCAATTTACAATCTAAGAAGACAGCTGTCAGCTCTACTCACATATATATACATTTACATTTAGTAAATTACTAGTGTGGCAAGGCACCTGTTTCCCCTCAGTGGGTCATTGTTTCCTCTTCTGGCAGTCAGTGAGTGGGGGGAAAAGGGGCTGGGATAAATCAGTCTTACACAAGAGAGTTTCTATTCCTTACTTGGGTTTTATTTTTCACTATTTTACATGGTGGGCCTTAGTGGTGGCTGAAGGAGCATTTTTCAGCCAAAGCAAACAAATGAATTCATAGAACAAAAAGGAGACGCTCTCTGGGTGCTCTTATGATTGCCTCGGGGTGCCAGTCCTTCCCCAATAGACAGTTAGCTCCATTGCTTCTCTTATTCTATAGGGAGGCAAGCAGCTTTCTGCCCATAAGACTTATCTCTTTGTTGCCACTTGCCTTGTTGCAGTTTGTCTCTCTTGCCTCTCTCCAACTAAAAGAGGGATTTTAGAGATCACAACAAGCATCTCTTAATTGGATTCCGTATCCTTGGTTGACCTAAGGTAACCACTAGCTCATAGGGAAAAGTACTTTTACCATTCTATGCTGCTATACCTGCCTTCCAGCACTCTTGCAGCTCGCCGATCTGACTTTGTCACACTAACTAATCTTTGTAGCTGGACTAATGCCAGTGACAATTATGACATGTAAAATTAATGTTAGGGCTGCATTAAAACAATATGTACCAGAAAGTCAGTATGTAACATTCTCTAATAAATGTCAATCTGTTAATAGTGTTACAGAAATCATTGCTTTGATGGGTGCTCTTTTTCTTTGCAAACATCTGCTTAGCAACACCAAGCTCAGTTATTACATAATGTTTACTTTGGTAGGTAGGTGTAAAAAAATCATGAACACTATATTTTCTCTGCTACCCTTCAGCTTTGATTGTATTTTTATGTTATTTTGAAGGGTGCATAGAATTTAGGTAGGCTCCATTTTTGTTTGTCTTTATATATAAAAAGTTAATGAAATAACATTAAACAAAAAAACATTTTTTGAAATTGATTTACTTTCTGCTGAGTATGAAAACATTTGATTATGTTCAAAACAAAAACAAATCTGTTTCCAAAATATTAACCTAACAAACCCCCAACATACTGTTCTCACAAGCGTATTTTTTACTCTTTTAAACTCTCACTGCTAGTCACAATTCAGGGCCCAAGGGTTGTTCCAGCTGGAAATAGTAATTGATGGAGTCTGGTATTTTCTTTGCAGCTTTGTTTGTTTATTTACAGCCTTGTTTATTTACAATAAACATACAAAGTCCTTTGTCTCTGTACTTAGAAGAACCCAAGAACAAAAGGAACACTTTCTTAACTTTTCAGCCTGCAAGTCTCTTTAGCCGACACAGATCCTTCTGTAACCTTTTCCAGGATCATACTACACTTACAGGCTCCAACTTCCTTTCTTGCCTCTCCCTTTCTCTCTCTGTTCTTGTCTGTTTCAGTTTCTGTGTGTTCCTCTTAGTCCTCCCCCCCCTCCATGCACACACAAAAAAGTACTCACCTAAATGTTTGTTGTCAGATTTGCACACACCTTTTGTCTTAGCTAGGGGCTTATGTTTACAATTATGTTATTTAATGGGTGAGTTCACACCTGTCCATTTCAGTAGGGTTTCACTCAACCCATAACAATATTTAACCCAATTTAGGGTGGTAAATTAAGACACAATTCAA